TTTCACTTCATATCAATTTAATTTGGTGTATTCATATGTATGATTGGTTTGTTAGCAAAATGAGCTCTGCTACTGGCGGGGGCGGATTAGGTGAAGGTTCAAAAGAGCCATCTGTCCACGCCGTGTTCGTGTCCTATATTTTTAAAAATTATTATATATTATATTAAAAAAATATTATGCTGTGTCCACGCCGCACCCGTGTCCTATAGTTTTAAAAATTGTCATGTCCCGTGTCCGTGTCGTGTCGTGTTCATGTCGCCGTGTCCGTGTCGATGCATCATAGACTGGAAGGGAACTTGATGAAAGGGCTCAAATTAGAGCTTCAAGCGGCAGTTAGAGTGATGAGGCCTCGTGATTTGGGAGAGGCTATGAAGCTAGCTCAATTAGCGGAGGATCAAAGGCACTTGGAGAAAGAGGTTGAAGGCAACAGCTCAAGAGGTTAGTACAGGATGACCACCACCTTCTTTGATGCATGCAAATTTCAGTTTTTTTTTTTTTTGTATTATTGTAATATGAATGATATATTTATTTTTTTTATTATGCTACCCTATGATGGAAGGCAATCAATTATCATGAGTAGGCAGTGCTTTGGACATGTATTTCTTTGGGTGTGCTCGTTACTTTGGTGCCTTAGCTCTCGGGCTGATTTGGGCTTCTCGATTTGGGCTTGGTTGTCTCGGCTTAGCTTCCCCTTTTGGTGAGCTGCTATGTTCCTCTTCTAAAATTCAGCTCATTAATATATAGTTCAGCTGCCTTTTCAGCTCATGATTGGGTGTCCTGGTCCCCCCCCTCCGACTCTATTGGCCTTTCGGTTTCTCCGCCTGGCTCCTGTCCCATGGCTGGTTTCTGTCCCGTGGCTGGCTGTTGCTGTTCCCCGTGGTTGCCCGTTCATGTCCCCCGTGTGGTCCCTTCGGCTGTTGTTCCAGGCATTCCCTGTTGGCCTTTTGGCTCCCCTTTTTTGGTTGGTTCGGCTGGAGGTGATTGGGGATGTTTGGCTACCTCTTTTCACCAATAAATATGTGATGTTTTGAGGCATTTGAAGGTTGTTGTTTGCTGAGCAAAGTTCTCTAAAAACCTGAGGGTTTCTTCTTGGGAAAGCTTGCGAGCTTGTTCCATTTCTCTTCTCCTCTCTTTGATTTCGTCTTCGGCCTCTTACCTACTTCTTCTCTCCACAAATTTCCACTCCACTTGTATCTTTCTTCTCAAGTTATTGGAGGTGTTGGTTGGCCAGTTTGGTAGCATTTGCCGGAGGAGTTTGGTGATAGACGTTGGCCCAAGTAGTTGTGGTGGACCCTTGGTTTGCATGTCCTTAAGCACATCTTTTATCTTACCTACTATTTTGTTGCATGTGAGGTGACCTCTAGTCGGTTGTTATGAGGGTAGCTATTTTTTTTTAATTCAGTTTTCGTTTTGTTTAATTTTTGTTTGTTTGGAGCTAAGTGTGCTGTTGGATTTCTAAATTTTGAATCGAGAAAAGCTCTACAAGCCCTTGTGTTCTCCCCTTTGATTTTTCTATCTAGTTGTTTGCATCATTCTTAGTACCCAAGGAGCTAACACCGGGTACTCTTAGGGAAATTCCAAAGGAGAAGGTTGTAGGTGAAAGACCCAAAGACAACTTCAAGAAGCTTACAGAAACGGAGTTACAAGACAAGAGGGCGAAGGGGCTCTATTTCAGATGTAAGGAGAGGTATACACCAGGGCACAAATGCAAGGACCATACTCTTCAAGTTCTCACATTTTGTGATGACGAGAAAGCTGAGGAGAGTGTCATCTTTCCACCTTGCGGACAATGTAGGTCTTTGGGAGGCAGGTATTGTTAGACTGGTCCCTGGACAGGTCCAAACAATCCATACGGGACCGGCTCACATAATAAAGGCAGACAAGGTTCGCACCTTAGAAGAGCAGCACGCTCCGCCCCTATTGACAACAGGAATTAGGAAAGATTTTGGAGGGATTTAGGAGAGAAATTTCAAAGTAGGGGTTTGTTTATAGATTTCCTTTTTAATTGTATGTATTAAGTAGTATTTTTTGCTAGGGTTAGGGTATCTTAAATTTGGCTGAAATTTGAGATCTCTCTTAGGTAGTTGGGGTCTAGCCGCCGGCTAGGGATTGGGAGAGTCAGATCTTCCTCTCAAATTGAAGATCCATTGTATCTTGCTTGCTTTTGTTCGTCTTTCATCAAATAAAATTTGTTTCATTGTTGCTCGTCTACCTTCTTCTCAAAATTGTTTGCAAGTGGCTGATTGTCTCGGATTTTAGCAAGGGTTTTTTTGGTTTATGCAAGTGTTTTCTACCAATCAACAATGATACTCTACATGCAAGTTAATTAGATGGATATCATGATTGAGAGTGAGCCATGTTTTTGCACCAAATTTGTTTTTTATGCTTTTCTTATTTACAGAATGGGTCGTGGCTACCCGTGTTGTGTGTTTTTTATTGATTCATGTTGGAGGTGATCTTGATATTTTTGCTTTGGTTGAATTCATCACTAGCACTGCCTAAACTAGTGCTGAATGGTGGTGGTATTTGAGCTTTGTTTCCTTTTATAGTGGTTGGCTGGCTGCAAAATTTATCATCTCAAGATACTACAATTGATTATTTACTTTAGGCTTTCGGCTCTTCGCATCCACTTTTTCTTTAAGACTTAATTACATATGGCATGGCCATACTTGTCAACGGCGAATGGCGTAGCACGGCGCAAAGTTTCTCGTGGAGCCATGGCGCATAGCGCACGGAGCCGCGCGTGCCATTTTGAATACGGCACAAAATAAAAAGAGTTATAAAAATTTTTATATGGATCATATTTTAAAGAATCAATTAATTGGGTAAGGCTTGGTTGAATATGTTTGTGATCCAAAGTTCAAACCATTAAAATGAGCTTCAAGTTCATCCAAAATTTCCACTAAAATAAAGTATGATAAAACTTAACTAAATTATTTTAATCATATCAAATAGTTTTAAAATTAATTATTACATTAAATTCGAAATTAAAATATATAAATATTAAAAATTATTTATAATTATATTAAAAATTACAAAAATTCAAATTGTGCGCCATGCGCCATTGCACCATTATGCGCTCAGTGGCGCAAATGGCGTGCGCCAACATGAACATGTGTGTCACGTCATGCCGTTGGTGCAGTAGGTGCGCCACGCCATTCTGCAACATTGACAAGTATGGGCATGGCTAGCCCTAGATATAGTTTTCCTTTTTCTTATAACTAGCAGTAAGTAGTTTTGCATTTCATTTGTTACTCTTGACTACTTTAATGGATCAATCATTTTGATTCTATAGACAATTACTTGTTATCTTATCAAAATTTTATATAGCTACCATTACTCTCATGTGACCATTTCTTTCCTTTGTTTGGATTATATGGAGGTTAAATTGCAATGACATGAATTCAAATTTTGGAATGTTGATCTTTTATTTTGTTTTTATATCTATGTCAAATTTAGATTCCTTCTACACATACCATTCACTCCCATCTTTTATTTACTGTTAATATACTTCCGGGTTCTTATCACTTTGCCTAGGTGCTTTGGGTTGGCATGTGTTGATATGAATTGAAAAAACTTTTTTCTTTCCCGCCAATAAGTCCCTTCCATAATTCTTTGCTCTTTTATCACCACCAATGATTTTTTCCGTACGATTAAACTAACTAATACTTTTTTTTGCTTTGCATACATGACATTTTTTGGATCTTGTGATGTTCTTTTGGTTCTTTGCTCTTTTATTGTTTGAGAGATTTATGTTGGTGGATCATGGACCCTTTTAGTTAATTTGATATAGTTTTCATGTGTATTTTTTTGACTTTTTTTATCTCAAATTGTAACCTGTATTAATAATTACATTTTCACCTTTTTAGATAACATGTAATATAATCCCTCATGCCAGGAGGTTGGTCATTGGAAGTACTACTTAGTGATACATATATAACTAGAGCTACTAAAGGTCCAACGATAATATATATATAAAAGTCACTTATACTGTACATGACATCTATAGTTATTGAGTTATTATAATACTATATTATATATATATATATATTTAATAAGAGAGAGAGAGAGAGAGAGAGTCAAAATGGCCCCTACATGTGAGGATCATTTTAGATCCAAACAATTTCAACTATCTAATTTAGTCTCATAGCTCCTCAAATATAACCAAAATAGTCATGTGGTTATAATTATTATTTAGTTTGATGAAAATTTCACGTAAATTTAAGAATGAGGTGAGAAATGAGGGTATTTCACACAAATCAAGATATATTAAAACTTTATTTATCAAAAATATCCTTATTTCCCACCTCATTCTTGAACTTTGCATAAAATATGCCCCTCCATCCCTTAGGAAGACTTTTTAATTAAAAAATAAAGCTTGAACAATTCATGCACATGTTCAAAAATTCGAACTCAATTTTAGGTTCGGTAACCAAATGGTACTCAAAATTCCACAGAATAACGATATATATTTCTTTATATGGGATAGGTAAGACAACAAATTTCACTAAACTAGTAGGAGCATTTCTCAAGTAATACACCAATTGTTTCAATTTTTTTTGTTTCTGCAGATGAAACTTTCCTACCATTTCATCACAAGACAATATCTTCCAAAACGTTTGAAACAAAGTGAATACTGTCAAATTATAAAATCTAAAAAACCAGCTGTTCAAATAAACCATTCAGAACGTTATTATTATTATTATTATGGAAATAGTAAATCCATATTAATATGCATATGTTTACGAATTCTCAGTAATCCTATAAACTAGTAGAATAACGCATTGCAATGTCCACACCCTGGTAACAAACTGCAAAATGCTACCACAGAAATAGCATTAACTTTAAACACCCGTCTCAACTTTTGGAATAGTTTGAGTTCATGATATTCTTTCTCCTCAAATCACTCTGTCAACCCCTTGTGAACGCTTAAATCAAATAATACAATGTTCTGTGCTGAATCGAAACGAACAAAGAGAAGAAAAAGGGAGAAAGCTTACGGCGAAGAGTGGAGTGCGTTGGGGTAAAGCAGGAGAGGGAGACCAGATCGCCGCTTCCGAAAGCCAGCAGTGAGGCCCTGTGGGTAGAGATTTGAGATTTTTGCGAGGAGACTCAAATCACGAGAGGGAAGAAGGTCAAGGAAAGCCCTCCAGGTCCGATTTGAATAGGAATAGATGAGGGCCTTCGCGCTGTCCCCCTCGGTGTTGGGGTTTTCCGACTGTGAGGACGCCATGACTGCGCCCGGTATAGCACTTGACTGATCAAGTGAGCGGCGAGCGAAGCAAATGAGACAATGTGAGGACGAATTAGGAATATATAGCCGGGATCAAATCGGCTATTTAGGTCACAATTTTTTAAAAAAGGCACAATTAAACAAATTTAAAAAAAATTTAATTACATCTATATTGTATATGTGTTATATTTTTTAGTGAAAATATATTATTTTTTTTGTGTTGTGCAAGAAAAAAATAAAAAAGGCATTAAATTTTAAATCTCATCTACGTCGCGATGTTAACCAAACCAACGCTGAAGTACCATCAAAGTCATCACTAAAGTGCCATAACATCGATATTGCAATGCCATCTTCTCTGTTGGATAACACTGTGGCATCAAAATGGTTAGCTTTGCAATGTTGTGTTCTTTATCTTCCAATACAGTAGCGTCATAATCTATAATGCCTCGGCATAGCAGTTGTAACTTCTTTATGACATAAATTGTTAGTGAAATGATCTTACTATTCACTAAGTATTTGATCCACGTTTGCAAGCGCCGCGGCGGAACCAAAACAACAACGTAGCGGCATTAGTTCATTTGTTGGGCGGAGCGACGCAAATTTTTTATGCACCGTAGCACTAGTTACCTACTTTGTGTTTTTTATAATAATAATTGTTGTGTTATATTTGGGTTTAGTTACTTGGATAATTTTAGTACAATTCATAGTGTTTCTCTAATTTCCCTTATGGTGACAACTAAGAAAATTTAGGAAAGTACTTGATACCATAATTATAGTGTTTAGCTTGTGTTTGTGGAAGCAATTCTGTAAGAAAAAAAGTAGTGTAAAGGAGATCTATTGAACCATTTTGGTGATATCTATCTCTCGTATTTTTTTCTATCATGTAATCAATGAAAGTAAGTTCGCTTTAATTCTACTTCATGTCTGACTAAATTCTCTCGTTTTAGATTGATGATGTAAATATCATATATAGTTCTAATGAGATATTTGATTATTTAAATGATTAAAATAATATTTTTAATATTAATATATCTTAATTTAATGTACATAGTGACTATATATGTAATTAAAATTAGGTGTAATATGGAGCCTCGACAGAGAAAAACAGGCATAACCAGGAATATTGAATTAGTATGCATCATACTTAGGCATAGGATATGAAATGTACTAAATTTTTAAAGAGATTATATACTCGTAGGAAGTTGGTGGACATCCTTTGTCCCTACAAGCTTGACATATATCTAGGGATGCAAATGCTTTAAATAATATCACAATTAAAGAGATTCATTAGGAAAAACATGTTATTTATATTCATAAATCCAAAACATTTTATCCATATAATGTATTCATTTTTTTAATCTAATTTTACTTAAGTGATTGAATCTCCACACTAAACATTTTTATTTGAGTATAATAATTTTGTAATTAGAGTAAACATTAGCATTTGATGGTTGAAAAACATACTTCCTCATGGATTTGATACTCTACTCTATCACTTTATTATTTGATTCAGCAAGTATACTTACGTATATTAAGTGAGATTTTTATATTTTTTATATCTAAGAAAATCTAAGCATTATTAGGGATTAATAGAGCCCTAAATCATTTCACCATTTATATGATTACTTCGTAGCCCCCATCAACTTTTTGGCATCATTATTAGAGAAGTGTTTCACTTTTTACAAAATTTTAACTATGTTGTTAAATTAATTACATAATTAGGTTTACTTATATTCTTTATTTTATGTGTTATTTCTGATTACATATTCATTATTGCATTAGTTATTGTCTAAAATGGTTTTGCATTCTATTTTGTGGTAATAATTAAAGTTATAATCTAAATATTAGTGTATTTAATTGCCTTCATATAATATTCAGCGTCACAACAGTTAAAATTTGAGCACCGCAAAGCTCAGTCATTGAAGTCAAAAAGTATCTCCTGCCAAAAGTTAGAAGTACTTTATATGGTTATAACTTTTAATTATTAAAGTTAGGTGAGCACCACGACATAATTAGTAGGCACTATGGCGTTATGAGGCATCATAATTATTTCACTTATAATGCCGTGGCGATTTACTTAGGCGTCATGGCATCGACACGTGTCAAACATCACGATGATGCATTCCTAAAGTGAAACTCCATTTTCCAAAGATCAGCACTGCTATGCCATGTAGCCTGAACTATTGCAGTGCTTATTGGATAACCATTTTGTCATTTAGTGTATGTATTGAGTGCTACAGTGTCATATATTGTTGCGCCGCCATGCTTTATCATATTATAAATAGGGGAACATTTTTCATTTTATTCAACACCTTCCATTTCTTTCAAACTCTTCTCTTTTCTTTGAAATATTATATAGAAAGCATGGCTCCTATGATGTTTGTTAAGAAGAGATCTTCTTCCTCCTTTGATAAGAGTAGATTTATTTCTACGAATGCTGAATCTAGATTTGTGAATTCATTGGTAAACAAACAACTGATTCTAGAATGAGGGTTTAGATTCCTTCTCCACCCATCATGCAAATCATAGCAAGTAGAGGTTGGGAAAGATTTTGCGAAGAGCCATATGCTGTAATTGTTAATGTTCTTCATGAATTTTTTGTAAATGGAAAAAAGAGGCAGTGGACAATAGGTGTTATGTTAGGGGTAAATGAGTTTCCTTTGATATGCAGCCATTAATAAGGTTTACCGACTTAGAGACTTTGAATTTGATGAGTACAATACCTTTATTAATACACCTCCTAATGACATCTTGAATGTCTTGTGTGTACCTAATAGTGGATAATGTTGGAAGAAGAAAGACAATAAAATTATTAATTTTCATGTCTCTTTTATGACCAAAACCTCCAAAGCTTGGCATTATTTCATTTATGCCCGATTGTTGCATGGTTGTAATATTAGTGAATTTACTTGTGATCGTGCCCTTTTGAATTACATAATTCAAATGAGGTATTATATTATGTAGGGAAACTCATATTTGCATCTCTTATGTACATCATTAGGGGTACCACATTTGTTGGGTTAGGGCACCCTTCTCTTATTTATGCATTGTGTGTAGCAGCTGATGAGGGGGATTAGAATGAAGAACAGTTATTTCCTATTTAGGCTCTCATAAAAAGAAAGATTTTGAGTTTTAAGCAAGTAGAAAAGGATAAGGAGGAAAGTGATTTCAATGAGCATAGATTATCCAGTAGACCAAGTAGCAGCAATAATAGTAGGAGTGCTAGAGCTTCGAAAGATGTGACTCACTTTTGTGAAGAAACCAAGTATAGGTAATTTGAGATGAAAATGAGGATGGCTCATAACATGAACCAATAGGAACAGTATTATAGATATACTTCATATTTTAATGACGCGCTTATTGATATGTTTAAGAGTAGTCATTTTATGGAGCATCCTGAGCTACTCGAGTTTCCCCCTTCACTTACTTACAAACCATGTATGTGGCAACCTAGAGATAAAGGTCATCAGGATAATAATTATGAGGAGGAGGAAAACCCTGATTCAAAGGGTTAGGGGTTATTTGTTTTTCTTTTGCATGAGAGAGAGAGAGAGAGAGAGTTTGGAGGCTATTTTTGTTAGGTAGCATGCTTATTTTATTTTGATATGTTGTAATGAATAGTCTGGCTAAAGACTTAAAACTTAGCACTTATAGGAGGAAACCCACTTGATATGATATGCATGGTAACATATGTTATGTTATTTTATGTTATGAACACATACTTTAAGCGCCTTTTATCATTTATATGAAAGCTTGTGTAGTGTTAATTGTTTATGTTTCTTTTATTCATATTTTATTTAAATTTCCCTCTTGCTCACGAATAATTTTTGTATTCTAATTATTTAATTAAGCTTAGTAAAATTATAATTAATTTTTTTATAAAATTAAGATAATAATAAAACCCTATATCATAGTTCAAATGAATACTATTTATACTTTATAGAGTTAAAAAACTAATAATTAAATAATTTATACAATTTAAAATTATTACTTTAATTTGAAATTATAAGTTATACCTTTATGCATTAATTTTCGAAAAAGATAAATAATTAGAATTAAATATTATATATAAGTAGATTAAAATTAGAAATCATTAGCAACTATAATTTGGAGTTGGTAATCTTATTAAAATCTTACAAAAAACTCATTAAGATTGTAAAAGGGTTCGAAGAAAAAATTAATATTCAAAGCCATTAATTATGTACTCCATAAAATAAAAATAAAAAGAGCTCCAAAAAAGTTCTAAAAACAAAAAGAAAAAAAAAGAAGAAAAAGAAAATATGAGTATATTCAAAAATTAGTATCAATCAAAAGCTTAGAATCCGATTGCAATCTTATACTTAAGTTCATAAAGGATAAAATAAGAAAACTAATACACATATGGTGAATTAATAAAAATTTCAATTTTAACTACTAACATTTCTAATAATTATACTATATTATTTATTTTAAAATTCAAAATTTAATACTTAAATCTACTCATGTTTAGCTAAATTCTCTAGTTTTTGATGGATGATGTAAATATCATATGTCGTGCTAATGAGATCTTTGATCTTTTAAATGATTAAAATGATGTTTTCAACATTACTAAGTCTTGATTTATTGCACCTAGTGGCCATATGCATTGTTAAAATTAGGTGTAATATGGAGCCTCGACCGAGAAAAATAGTCATAACCAAGAATATTGAATTATTATGCAACATACCTATGCATAGGACATGAAATGTACTAAATTCTTAAGGAGATGATATAATCATAGGAAGTTGGTGGGCATTATTTGTCTCTACGTACAAGCTCGATAAAGATCTAGGGATGCATATGCTCTTATTAACCTCACAATTAAAGTGATTCATTAGAAAAAAAATATGTTATACACATTCATCAATCTTAAACATTTTATCTGTATGGTGTATTAATTATTTTTTATTTAACTTTATTTAAGTGATTGAATCTCCACAACAAACATTTCTATTTAAGTAGGATAATTTTGCAATTAGAGAAAACAGTAGTAATTAGTTACTTAAATGCAGGCTTTCTCATGGGTTCAACACTCAACTCTATCACTTTTTTTAGTCTACTACATCACTTTATTACTTGATTTGGCACGTATACTTGTGTATAATAAGTAGAGTTTTATAATTTTTATATCAAAAAAGAAAAACCTATGCATTGTTGGGGATTTATAGAGCCTTAAATCATTTCACAATTTTATATGGTTACTCCACAACCCACATCAATTATATAGCCCAAATTATTTCTTAATAATTTTAAAAACTAATAGCTTAAAATAAAGCAGTTATTCCAAACTAACAACATTGTGGTGCTATAATAGTGTAGGGTTTTGTAGATAACTAAGTAGGTTATCAAATTTAAAGTGTAGTATGCTAAGTAGAATGTAATGTATAGTGTAGAGCAGAAAGTAATATAATTCCAATCCTTATTTCTCTTATTCAGAACTCCAGACCCTTATGCCTCCCATTCAGAATTCTTGGCCTTCATTCCTTTTTGTGCTCTCAAAACTTTTCTAAATTTTAGTAACAAAACTCTTTAGTTTTATATGCATAATAGAACTCTAAAAAGAGCTCCCTCAAAACTTCTTAGTTGTAGACAAAATATCATCTAGAAATTCACAATATATAAATCATCCATATAACATTAGAGTTAAGCAATTAAATATAAATTAAGCTATTTGCCAAATTTCAGATTTTTGTTCTCCAAGTAGATTTTAACAATTAAACCCAGTGCAATGTAGCAAAATTTCAATGACTCATAATTCTACCAATTTATCAAAGATTGTGTAGAATCATATTTTAGAGGTTTAATTATTCCATAGTGTTATTTTTCAGTGTCTGGATATTTTTCTACAATTTTAAAAAGCAGCGTTTAAAAAATATCCAGCAAACAGTTTATGAAAAACACCTAAATGTCTAAAACTGCATTTTCTATAACATGCCAGAAGTTATATGGTGAAAGTTTCCCTGTTTATATGTTATCTCAGTTAAAACACTAGAAATTTATATTTTTAATCAGGAAAATCCAAAAATTATTAAATTAGTACAAACTGAGGTAGGCAAATTGCAACCTACCTTGAGCCAGACAACTTTTATAATCGCGTTGCAGGTAAAAATGTTCCAAAGTCACTCAAAATGAACTTTCTCTCTCTAAGAATCTATTCCTTTATCTCACTAAGCGCAACTCTAATGGAATAAATTTAATGGCACAGTGGATTCGATATTTTAAATATTAAAATTTAGCTTAGTGCCATGACACTCGACTTAATGCTCCCTTAGAGAGCCCACAATGCTATCATTCCACCGTGGTGAATTAATTTCTAATTTTTTTGAGGGCTTTAACATTGAAGCATCACCAACCTAAGCATCATAACACACAAAAAGAAAATTTAGACTGACTCAAATATATAAACAGACCCTGGGACTCAATTTAGATCACAAGTAAACTCTCATATGTAGTCTAAATATTCCCAAACTTATGCAAAAATATTTAAATTTAATAATTTAAGAGATTACCTTGAATCTAGTTGGGTCAGAATGGTTGAGTGGTTTACTGGATTTATAAGTGTCACATTATGAACGATATTATCTACATATTATATTTGGGTTGGGTTTTGACAAAAGAGTGGGAATTTAAAATGCTAGAATTTGAGGTTCATCTGTTAGGACTGTTAAGGAATTTTTGGAGTACCATGTAGGTTTTTAATATCTGATGCCCCATAATTTGATTTGGAAGAATTATTCTTTCGTCTTTAATAAATAACAATCAGAGCTACCTAATTTAAAACATTTTTCATTTTCCTCTCGAGCTCGTGCGCTTCTCCTCTGGCGGCTAGGGTTCCGGCTTTGGCCCCCGCCGGCGGGGGTTTCCGGTCCTTTTTTTCAGGAAAGTTTTTCGTCTCTCTTCTCTGTGTTACTGGGGCTTTTTGTTTTTATTTTCTTCCAGTTTTACCGGTATGGCTCCGATCAAATTGAAAGATCCCGATTTTTTCAGGGGGATCTCTCACTCTAAATCTTTTTTTCAAGCGCTAGCTGGATATTCTTCCTCTTTTCCAGATTTGAGGCCTTCTACCTTTCGTGGGCTACCATCTCTTTGGGTTTCTGATGAGGAAATTAGGGATTTGGCTGTTCCTTTTAGGTTTTCGTTAGTTGGTTTCTTCCCGTCGAAAAGTCCTCCTCTTGACGCGATTCGCAAATTTTTCTTCAATTTGAAGCTGAACGGTGAAGTTTCTGTTACCATTTTGGATTCTTCACACATTTTGATTAAGTTATCCAACGATTTAGACTATTGTAGAGTTTTTTGCCACCGATCATACATGGTTTTCAATTGTTTTATGAAATTAACGAAATGGTCTCCTACATTAGATATTGGAGTTGAGTCGCCGATCATCCCGATTTGGATTTCATTTCCTCATCTTCGTCCTCATTTCTTTGCGCCAAGGATTCTGTTTGGGCTTGGTGAGTTATTTGGCAAACCTTTAAAAATAGATGAAGCGACATCGACTGGTTTACGTCCGTCCAATGCTCGTGTTTTAGTTGAAATTGATATTACCAAAACTTATACGAAGCAAGTTTGGTTAGGATCTGAGGCTCAAGGATATGTTCAGGATGTGGTTTTTGATGAATTTCCTCATTTTTGTAGTGTTTGTAAATGTTTAGGGCATGTGTCTGGTAAGTGCAAATCCGATTCTAGCTTTGGTAAACCTGATTTTGTGATTGATCCTGTTGAGGTTTTACCGGCTGCTGGTGTAACAATAATTCTATCATACTCTTGTTGACTCATTTTTGATGAGGTACTAAGGACCTTTCCTTAGATTTCATTTTATTATTCTTTTAGCCCCTGGATCCACTCTAGACTTAAGACCCCTTCTAACGCTAGACCCTAGATCTATTCCTACGATTTTGACGGATCCTTTCTGAGCCGCGACCTTAGGGTCTATTCTGACTTAGTGATCTTTCTTGTGTATCTTATGACTTTAAGGCCTTTCTAGAGCTCAGGATTCTTCCATATCCAAGTCCTAGAACTCTTCTAGATCCTAGGATTTTCCATATTCAAATCAATCCTACCCTTGACTAACTCAAACCTCAAATCAATCTAAACTCCATTCAATTTAAATTCAAATCAATTCAACTTCAGACCCTTCAAACCATGACCAGTTCAATGAGAATTCAACTTCAACTTTGACTTTGATCCTACCCTTGACCTAGCTTTGACCCAAATCCATTCATTAACATCACAATGATTGTTAATGATTTCGATACTTCAATATTAATTACTCAGCTTAAAATTCATTCCAAATCCAGAAATCCAGACTCAAACCCAAAGCCTTAAGGCCTTGTCCTAAAGACCTTTTCAAGAATTTTCAAACATTCAAACCAGTCCAATAGCCTCTGATTCGGGTCTATCACTTACATAAGTGATAAGACATGTCTCTAGAGGCCTACCCTCAATTTTGAGCCCATTCTGAGGTCCTCATACCCCATAATCTGAATTAAAATCCAAAGGCTGTAAAACTTCAAATATTTACAAGCCTATGCCACTGAACCCAACCCTTTGAGATTTTAGATCTTGGAGCCCTTTATCAAAGCCTCCAACCATTCCCCATTCTTAATTTTAACCCACTGAGCAGTAAACTGCATTTCTCAAATCCACTTTTGACCTAGTTGACAATAGGTCAGAATTGACCAAATACCCTTATGGGAATTTCAATGGCCATTTCAATCAAATCAATTCCAACCTTCGAAACACTCAGTGAATTCCAAATGTCAAATTCAATTGGTTGAACTCAACCCAGACCTTGGGTCAACCTGGTTGACCAAGTCAACCAGGTTTGACCCATTAACCCATACACCCTTCCCTTTCAAAATTTTGAATCAACCTATTCCAAGTCTTTAGATGCATGGGATGACCCTTGGGCACCCAAGAGACCCTCTTGGTGACCAAGCCTTGGGCCACTTGGGTTAGTCACAATGGCTTGACCAAGTAACCAAGAAGAGGTCTCCCTTGAGCCATCTTTTGATCTTATCCAAATGAATCCAAATCAAAGTGCCATTGGAGTTCCCATGGACGCCAATACACCTCTTGATCAGCCCACCCTTGGGCTCATTTGGTTCAGAGTTAGGCTAGCCCAAAGTGCCCAAAAGCACTTGGGATTGAGCCAAAATCTCAACCTAAGCCCAATTGAACTTGACCAATACATCCCCATAGTGGCCCTAGATTCAATACACCTCCTCCAGCCAGCCCATGCTTGGGCTAGCTTGGGTCAGGAGTTAGGCTAACCCAAAGTAGCCAAAAAACACTTGGACCCGAGTCACTCCCGCCCAGATCAAATTGGACCCAATTGCCACTTGCATTGGTGCCACCAGACCATGACCCACTCCCACTTCAAGCCCAGGGTCTGGCCTGACCTGGGTTGAGCCGAATCGACCAAACCAAGCAGGTTGGATCAACCCGATCCATCTTTTAATCCAGATCAAATTCGACCCAATTGCCACCTGCATTGGATGCACCAGACCCAGACCTGCTCCCATATTGAACCCAGGGTCTGACCTGACCTGGATCGAGCTCACTCGACTCGAACCAAAGCAGGTCGAGCCCAACCGAACCATCGGATCGACCCAGCTTCCTCAGGCCAATTTGGCTCCACTCTCGGCTCCAGTATGTCTCAATCGGCCTTCCTTGTCAACCCGACCCAGACATGGCCGGCGGCGGTCGAACCAATGGAGAGCAAGCTCCGTGGTCCCCAGGCCGATCCTGACCGAAAGCCTTCCAAAGGCTGTGGCTCGCGGCTTGAGGCTCACGAGCTCTCTGGAATGGTGCCCCTTTCCACTTGGCATCAATCCGAGACCTCCTCCGATTCAATCCGCGGCCGTCGAGCTCGCGGGAGGAGGCTGAATAGGTTGGTGCTCCCATAGCTCACGAGAGGACCTAGTGTTTTCAAACGATTCCCAGAGCTCCATTCCATCTCCCAGCATCTTTCTTCGAGCTCCCAGACCGCCCCTTCCATCACATTCGAGCGAACTCCGGGAAAGGCTTTCGGCATCCCGCTCGAAGTCATACCTCCAGCCGTCCTCCAATCGCGGCCTCTGAAGGAACTGCTCTGCCTTCGTCCCCTGAAGCTTCCAGATAGAGAAGCTCATTCGTTGAGGCTTTCTCTCCGGTAATTCCTTCATCCCGAGCTCCCTACTAGGTAGTCCGGTCAAGTGTGAAGGAAACCTTACACCCCAGCGGATTTCCACCGTTGGATTTAAGGTTTCCACCCCCCTGATCCTCCCTGTGAAATTTCGTCGAAGTTCGCCGGTGCGATCGCTCGGATTACGCCGGAGAAGGTTCACGGCTTTGGGTAAAGGCGGAGGTTTGAAGACGTAATCTCAGCCGTTGATTTCGATCAACGGCTCGAATTAGATCCCGCGGTCCCGGAGCGTGTTTAATCAGCCTGTTCGATCCGCCATCGACGGCTGTGGTTAATCCGGCCGTTAAACGTTAACGCCAATCATTGTCTGGCGAAACAGCGCGCGCCGCGTGGGTAACGTCGCTGACTGTGTAATTGCCGGATTAATTAAATCTAAGAAATTCAAGGAAACTTCAAAATCATAACTCCCTGCACACTTGTCCAAATTAGGTGTTCTTAGGCTCATTGGAAAGGTCTCAGGAAGCACTACAAAAGCCCTATGGTTCCAGACCCTGGTTAAGTCAATTTAGGTTTAATTTCATTGAGCATTTTATGAATTTCTTTAATTACTTTTTAAATACACGTCCACCAGGTCTGGAATTTTGGAAGATTGATTTGGACATGTTTTTAACATGTCAAATTTTATCTCCCGTTTTATGTTGTTCAGGGCATTTTACCTAATTTTTTAAGTTTAAGGGTCATGGGTTGACCTTAATTCAAAAAAGGATATGGACCTATCCAATGGGATTTAGGGTGTGATTTTTGGTGTGCTAAGATGTTTAGGATAAGGAGTGTAGAGCCACTGATTTTGCCCAATCCAAGCCTAGGATAGATCCCTATAGTGATTTGAAGGTGACTTTAGAGCTCACCTTGGGTGGTTTTAGTTAAACCACTTAGAGTACTCCTTTTGAGCCCAAATTTTGTGGATTTAGGCCTTAGGATCAGGTGATCCTTTTGGTTTAAATTTCATTACATTTGGGTTCATTTGGTTCCCAAGTAGGAGCCACAATAATTCCCTTAGAAATCCCCTTCGCCTTAATAAAATTCTAATAAATTTGGTTTAATTCCTAAAAAATTCCCCAAAATACCCCTAAACTAACCTCAATTCATCCCTCAATCAGTGAAAATTGGAATCCCTTTAATTTGACATTCAAGTATATTCTAATCTAATTTTAAGCTAAGATCACTGTTTAATCAATTTTAATTAATTAAAAATTATTAAAATCCCAAAAATCTTTAAACACTTGCTAATTCTTATTAGATCATCTCTGATTTTGGAGTTAATTTCAAGAAGTTTAGGACTCATTTGGGTTCAAATCATTAAAGGGCCCTAATTGAAATAATTTAATAATTCCAATAAATACCTAAACTTCCAAATTCATAACTAATTGTAGAAAATTCTAAATCAATCAGACGTCAGTGGCTAATGACTCTAATTAAAATCTAGTATTTTCCAAAAATGTCAACCCCCAAATCTGGTCAAAGTCAAAAGTCACATTTTGGTCAACCTTAGGTCAAAACCGGGTTAAAACTTCTAAAAATCATAACTTTTGATAGAAAACTCCAAATTGAGTGTCCCAACTGTCTAACAACTCATAATTAGGTCTAGTATTTATTAAAAATCTGAAACCTTTAAGATTAACTCTAATTTTGAAAGTCATGTTTTGACCCGGATAATCTTTTAAAACCCATTAACCCTTTCAAATTTCAGAATTTTCTTAATAGGCTAATAAAATTCTTCAACCAACCCATTAAAATCAGTAACAACTCACTTTAATATTAAGCACTCTTTTAATTCCAATCAATTTAAATCAACTTATCAACCCCGATTGCTACTGGGTAACCCAGGCCTACGAGGCTATTAGCTTAGCCCCAAGGAAGGTGGAATAAACTGTCAACGGCCTCGGTGTGAAAAATGGTAGTAATCAATTAACTTTTAAAATTATTTAATTAAAATTCTTAATTTATTTAATACTTAATTTTAATTAAATTCCCTTTTAAGCCTTAACAAACCCAGACTTTTAGACAACTTCAAACTAATAACCCACTTTAGGATCTACCCCAGCCACACGACCTTTCTCACACACTTTAGATGATGTGCTAGGACAACCAACTCTAGATCTAGGTTAGGCCGGTGTTACTTTACTGCTGTGTGCCGAATTTTTCGTAGTTTTCACTACATGTTAGGATGAAATTGCTTTGCTGTGTCTGCTTACTTTTTCTGTACTCTGTGGATGGATTGATGTGTTTGGCGACTAGATTACCCTTAGGTTAGTACGATCTGGATGTTGACACAGTTTTCTGCAGGTGGCCACGCTCATGCAGGGCAATATAAGAAGGGGGCAAATCAAAAAAATGCATAAATATTATAAACTCTTTGCACAGGTGCTTCAGCTGCTAAAGCCCCAAATCATAAAAAGAGCGTGGCCAGTGTGTTTACTTTCTTTTCTGCTCATATACAACTGCTTGGAATAACTGCTTTTATATATTAATTGCTTAGGATAACCCTGCAGGTGAGTCTAGATTTTTATTTGATACTAATGTAATTTTGTGTATTGTCAAGTGTTGTGAAAGTTGATTTTGAGTTGGGATACATTATCCAAAGC